GAGGGTGTTAGTGAAGCGCCCAGCGACGCCCACATCATGCTTATATTCTATGTATATACACATATATAAACATATTTGGCAGATATTTGCCTCTGAAACATAAATGAGATTGAGCAAAGCATCCTTACCTGCTTATCCCCAGAAAGTGGCTGGCAGGGTGGGCTCCAGAGCCATCCCAAGACCTGCTGTAGGCATATTTTGGTGTATTTTAGTGCAAGGTGAGTTTATGAGGCAATGATTGCCTGTTTCTGTAAACTGTAAAATTAGTAGCATGAAAAGGGACATTTGACTAACTCCCGAAAAGGCACTCTATATTTCCATCTTAAAATTTTCTACTTTTTTTGCACTTTTTTTTTTTAAGGAAAAAATCAATCTTTTCCAGTTTTGCAGCATGTGTCACTCTGTTGAAAGTAGGATTTGTGCATTACAAAGGCCGTCTAATTCCTCTCCTCCCTGTTCCCATAGTAACTCTCCTAGCCGTGCCCCTGTGAAGGCTGCATTTCAAGTACCACCAGCCGTTCCACTGCTGAGCTACTCTGCAGTAATGAAGAATATTTTAAAAGTTAGTGAAACTATTGAAAGCACAGAAAAGTACTAGCATTTACAAAATGTGAAGCTTTGCAAGCGCTCCTTTTATCCGCGGGCTGTTTGATGTTAGGACACAGTCGCTGTTACCGGGTTTGGCTGTGATGGTGCCTCAGCGCTGTGGCTGCTGTGAACATCACTCAGCCCCTCTGTCAGGGAGACACAATGTGAGGGTGCCCTCGTGGGATTTTTCCAGGTGGTGATGTTGCTGTAGAAACAATGGCAGACAATTCTGTGCTCCTCAGGATGTCTCAGGCATCTCGCAAACAGCAACAGCCCATTGCAGTTCTCCTTTGTTAGGCCAGATGTGTGAAAACATCTTGGCAAGCCAGAATATTCTCAGGAAAAAATACAGAAGCAAAAATGTGTGTGAGGTGTGAGGAGAAATTGAATGATAATTAGTGAAATTTCCTTATTTTCAGCAGTTCTTAAGCAGCTTTCTGAAACTGAAGCTCAGATGCGGAACGGAACTGTGATATTTTAGAAAAGGAGAAAACCCCCAGTATTTAATTGCAGCTTTTACTAAACTTCTGTAATTTACTATTCTTCTCTCACCTTTTCCATTGGTACACCTAACACTTGCTGCAACACAAAGCAGACTGACTTTTCTCGTGTTTAGTCTATAGCACTCTCTTCCCACATATCACACTGAATTATATAAATTACCCCCTTTAGATTTTATATTTCAGAAAATGTAAATAAATCCCAAAGAAAGGTTGACACTGTTCTCCTCCAGAATTTAATACAATATAATATGTGACACAGTCTTGGTTTTATAGATCTTGCTGGAAAGGGTCAGTGCAGTTTAGAGTAGCAAGACTAGGAATGGTCACAGATGTTCTATTTCTCCCTGTGAGCACTAAAAGGAAGTTACTTAACAAGGAAGTTTCCTGCCCACATGTCCCTTGGCAGTTGATTGGCACTGCCATCTTAAAATGGTGCAAAGTTCTGATGAAGTTTGTCCTGCAATCAGGACAGATAATCTCTCCACATGAAGTTTAAAAGCATGAGCTGCTTTTCCACAGAGTGGGCAGTACGCCATCCTCTCTGGGCAAACAGCCTCTTTGCAGTGATTTCATATTTTAATCACTTAGAAATTGGACAAAGAAGTGTCACATGAACAGTCACAGGCCAGGTTGGTGGAAGAAAAATACAGCATTCAATTTGATCTTGAAATTTTATCTTCTGCTTGTTGGCAGCACCAGTAAATAACAATAACTCTTTCTTGTCCCATTTCTTGTTCAGCTGGCACCAGCACTGTCCGCTGGGCTCCGTGGCTGTGAGCAGTGGCCATGGAAGATCCTGACAGGAAGATTGAAGTGGTGCTGCTGGCCTGTGGGTCCTTCAATCCCATCACCAACATGCACCTGAGGCTGTTTGAGCTGGCTAAAGACTACTTCCATGAAACAGGTAGCATGGTTATTTATTATTCAGAATAGCTTTGATAACCAGACACTTCAATGTTAAGGTGAATATTTTGTGGCTGTGAATGCTTGACAGTGACAAATATTTAGCAAATGCTAATTTGTGTTATGTGTTTATGTCTTATACAAAGGCCATTATGAGAGAACTCATTTATGTGTTGCTTTAATGAGCTAAAGCACAGGGTTTATAGTTTACAGAAATATATATCTTTCTAATACATCTTCCCAACTCCTCCATTGTGCTGCCCTGACAGTGCAGGAGTGTGCTGTATTTTTCCACAGGGCTGGCTGTCAGCTGCCATTGCACTGTATAATGGTTATGTCACAGGTTAAATACAATGCAGGGGAAGTAACATCTGCTCAACCACTTCTCATGTTCTTGTGCGATGTGTTTTTTTCCACAGGAAAATACAAAGTAATCAAAGGCATCATTTCACCAGTGGGTGATGCGTATAAGAAGAAAGGTCTGATCAGTGCAAATCACCGAGTGACTATGGCAAAACTGGCTACAAAAAACTCAGACTGGGTGGAAGTTGATGATTGGGAAAGCTGCCAGAGCGAGTGGTTGGAAACACTCAAGGTTTTAAGGTATTCTTCAGGCAACCTCTAAAGTCTCACAAACCTATAGAAGGATTAAGAATGGTGTTAACTCCAACAATTTGGGATAATTGCAGAGAGAGGTTCTTTGGTAGGCCATACTATCCCAATTTTTTCCTACATCTTTAAAATACCTAAAATACATCTGTTTTGCAGGTACCATCATCAAAAGCTTTTATCTGCTGATGTCACTAATAGTCTGCAGGATGATGTACCCATAACAAAGCTGGGACGGAAGAGAAAACAGGAACCAAACAGGCATGAGCCCATTAAAAAGAAAAATCAGAGTCCAGTTGTAAAAAGTTAAGTCTGTTTGCAAATTAGATGGTTAATGATCCTTATTATTTCAAGAGAACTGCACCAATGAGCAACTTTTATGGTGGCTCCTGGTTCTGATGTCACTCAGTAACTTTATTCCCTTAGATTCCACAGCATAAAGCATTAGAATCCTTTAATGAAGGGACTCCCATAACCTTTAGTCAGAAAAATCCTGTGTTATGGCTACTAATTATAAATTGTATACTCTGAATCTTTTTTTTTTAAATTTCATTCCATTGTCTCATCTTAACCAAAGATACAGAGAGAAAGGGAACCAAGAAATATAAATGTCCCTGTGAAGTTTGCTAAAATCTGCCAAGCCCCAAACCAAGCCCTATTTCTCATTTAATTTTCTCTTTAAGGTGTCCCACAGGTTAAACTGCTTTGTGGAAGTGACATGCTGGAATCTTTTGGTGTCCCCAATCTGTGGAAGTTGGAGGACATCACTGAAATTGTGGAAAAACACGGCCTCGTGTGTATCAGTAGGGCCGGAAGCAACGTTCAGAAATTCATCTACGAATCGGATATTTTGTGGAGACATAAGAATAACATTCACCTTGTGGAAGAATGGATCACAAATGATATTTCCTCCACCAAGATCCGGAGAGCCCTGCGGAGGGGCCAGAGCATCCGTTACCTGGTGCCGGACGCGGTGCGGGCGTACATCGAGAGGAACGGGCTGTACAGCGCCGAGAGCGAGCACAGGAACGCGGGGCTGCTCCTGGCCCCGCTGCAGAAACACGCCAGCGACCCCAGGAGCTCACAGGCACTGAGCAACTGACCCGCTGGCTGCTCCCAAAACCACATTTCATAAGGAAAGTGTGTTTTCTAGGGGCTGGTTGGGGCTTTTCCTTAGGTAAATAGGGGGCTGATTCCGTACATCTGTAGTTAGCAGTGAGGTTTGGTGCACTCTGTGATTGGACCTACACAACCTTTGTCAAGTCCAGTAATGAGATTTTCACACTTTAATGTTTTATCCCAGTGCACTGAAGGGAGTATGAGAATTCACAGCGGTACATGAAAATTGCAAACGTATAAGCAAAACAAATGAAAATGTTCTGATTAGGTTTAACTCAAACTGCTCTGCTATTTTTAAAACAATAATACAAATATTTTTAATAACTTACAGTGTCTTTAAAAAGTTATCTGGTTTCAAGATGTATCATTTACTTACAGTAAATCTATGTAAATTTTTTTTTTTATTGTCAACACGTGGTTCACCCCAAAAAAATATTTAACTCTATCCTGGAAGGGAAGAATTTCCTCCTGGCTGAAGTGGTGCTAGGTATAGCATGCTTTGAGCTGCTTGCCTTTGAGAGATGCAGCTGCTTGTTTGCTGTCATGCAATTTGCTTCCAGAAATGTCTTCTACTTTACTTTTCTATTCATGTTTCCAGGGCTGTAATGTTAAGCTCAGTTTTGTTTCTGATGGAAGGACAAACCTACCTCAGGAACTGGTTTAAAGCCATTGATTTAATAGACAGGAATTAATAATAGTGTCACTGCACTATTCTGAGACACTTGTCCCTTTATTACAAATAATACATTGATTTCAAATAATAAAGTTTCTTTTACTTTTGAGCCATAAGTAGAATATAATTATATTTAGCCAGAATTGTTTTCTGTTAGTAGAGAGAAAATGGTACTATATCAATACTGATCATAAGTGAAATGTTTTTCTCTTCTAGAAATTTGGTTTTGAATCTAACAGTGTATTGTCTGTATTATGTGAACATAAGCTAGAGAGGCACTGTGACTGTTGTGCTGATAGAATTCTACCTCCTTTTATTTGCTGCTATCTCATTTCTGTTTGTATTATGTGCCTTATTAAGAATGCCAAGGTTTGCAATCCACTTCTTATGAATCAACAACTCTTTAGAGGTCTTTGTGTGAGGTTTAAGTACTGATTTACAGAAAGAAGGACCACACCCCAGACTATCTGCATAATTTAAATTAAAATGTTATATCTGGACTTTGGCACAGGATTTACCAAGTACTGACTTCTCTTTGCTGGCAAGAGTCAGTAGTATTGCAACAGTGCTTTACTACCATAACCTCAGAACACCAAATTGTGGGTGAAATGTTACTATTTGAGTCAAGAGGAAGCAGTAATTTTCATTTCTCAGTGCCATTCCTGTTTTAGTGTAGGTTAGAGAACAATATCCAGCTGCAAACAGGAAAGAAGCGTTGACGTCCTGAGTTCCTTCTCGCGTGATGCTGTGAGTCATATCGATCACACTGCCAGCTCCAAAAATGGAGCTAAACTCTGGGGAAACTGCTCTGCAAAATATCATCCTTCTTATTCAGCCCAACACAAGTCAGTAAATAAATAAATGTAGTAGGTATAGGTGTGTTTCCTCACCTCTAAATCCCTTATTTCCTCACTTCAAATTCTCTAAGTCCTTTCTCTTCAAAGTCAAGCATTTTTTATTCACTTTTCAAAACACATTGCTGGGTCATCAGGGATTTCTGTCACTTCTTTGCTGAAGGTGAAGTCCAGCACTGCAGCTTATCTGCTGTGTCATGCACTCTGCTGCCTGTGCTCTGCCACAGCATGCAGCATCTAATAAAGCATCAGTGGGAACAGCTCCTGGATCAGCTCTCCTTTATGTGTCAAGAACAGAAAGCAAAGGCACGAGCTGCATCTCCTATATACAGAAGATTGCTTTTTGAATTCTGTTTTCTACTCACTCCAGACATAAACCAACACGATATAATTCTTATCTCTGTGCCATAGGTGTTGCTTTAAAATTTGTTGATATAACACAATCCACAGTTTAACAGTCAGTCCTTGTCTGTTCAAGTACAGCCTGTCTTTACAGGGGTACATCACCTTTTCAACAGATATCTGGATTTCAGATCATAAAGCCCAGATTTAATAAACTTACAGGAAATCTTAGTAATGACAAAATCAGTCCCTTTAAAGTATACAAGATGGACAAAATGGTTTAAGCCAGTTTTTGGCTTGCATTGTGGCTCTTGGGCTATTAACATTTGCTAACACAAAGATTTCAGACACAATGAACTTTTCCCTGCAGCACAGCTGAAGCCATTCTACACATACCCTCTCACCCACTGGCTCAGCACCCTTCCTCTCCAGCAGAAAGGTCCTGGGATGTAATCCCACCCACAGGCTGCCCTATAAAAGGCCTAGCAAGAAAACTACATTTGTATTTCTGACTGCTTCTTCCTCCTCTGTGGCAATGCCTGTGGATTTCAGCGGAACCTGGAACCTTGTCAGCAATGACAACTTCGAAGGTTACATGGTGGCCTTAGGTAGGTGAAAAAACCCGATTCTATCCTTCCTCCCTTCTCCCTTAAGGGTCTTCTTGAATTTTAAGGACTGCCTTTCATTTCACCCTGTTTAAGGTATTGAATGCTTTAAAGAGAGTATTGTAATTTTTTCATTGCCTTTCCTCCACCAAAGGATGAGAACAGGCATTCACCTCTTATGGTGAGTGGGGGTAAAGTCTGAAACCAAGTTTGGGTGTCTCTGTTTGGGGGAAGCCAACTGTCTCCAGGAGTTTTCTGTCTGAAAGTCCCGGGAATGCTGCATAGGAATTGTACAACATCTGAATAAACTGGTTTTCAAAGAGTAAAAAGTACAAGAGGACAACTTACTTTGTGTAACACACAGCTTTAAACAAAAGGTTCCAATAAAACAACAAAATGCTGCGTAGCAGTAAGGTCAAACTACTGTAAGAAATGCTTCTGGTAGTAATAAAGGTTAATTCCTGGCTGCCAGAATGGCTGGTGATAAATACAACTCTGATGTTTTTGCCTTCTGTCCAAGGTATTGACTTTGCAACGCGCAAAATAGCAAAAATGCTGAAGCCTCAGAAAGTGATCAAACAAGACGGTGATTCATTCTATATCCATACCACTAGCTCATTCAGAGATTATTTGCTTGAATTCAAAGTTGGAGAAGAGTTTGAGGAAGATAATAAAGGCTTGGATAACAGAAAATGCAAGGTAAGAGGGAATATATGAGGCTGTGGCAAAATCAAGATGCCATGATCAGTCCAGATATTTGAGCTGAAATTGTTTCAAAAATAATATTTGTAGTGCAAGACAGCAGTGGGAGCCTGAGTTACAGACAAGGAGTGTCACTTTCACTCAGGGGTAATATCTAGGTCTTCTTTTATCCAGGAAAATGCACATTTTCTGCAAGTATCTTGCAGAACTGAGGCAGACATGCAGAAGCACCTTTTTGTTCCCTGTTCCATAGAGCCTCGTTACCTGGGAAAATGACAAACTTGTCTGTGTCCAGACTGGTGAGAAGAAGAACAGGGGCTGGACTCACTGGCTCGAAGGGGATGACCTCCACCTGGTATTGACTTCAGATTTCTACTAATTATATCTCTGTATGGCAAAAATTAGATTTATAATGTGATCACAGTGTGCATATGTCTTCTAGCTGTGTAGGATGTGTCATGGATGGTACATTGTGAGCATTCTGCTTTGAAACAGCTTCATTGTTTCACTGTCACATGTAGTAAAATTTGAATGTTAAGTGTAAGTTATTAGCGTGGCCAGGGTGGTGGTAAAGGATCTATGTTCAAGTTGGGAACTGTTCCTTTGATTACTATAGATATCTATACTCTTGGGTTTTCTGATTGTTTGTTTTTGGTTTTTTTGGTAGGAGCTTCGTTGTGAGAATCAAGTCTGCAGACAGGTCTTCAAGAGAGCTTGAGTGTGTGTGGTGTGCTGGGTCCTGCCTGCAGGGCCAGCTCTGCTCAGGAGCTGTGTCCAGGGAGGGCTCTGTGGACAAGAACTGGCTCCTGTACCTATGAACCTGAATGGTCTGAAGTTTCTGGCTCAGGAAATAAGTCTGCTGTTGCCAGTGTTAAAGATCTGATTTTTGCTAATAAATGCCTCAAACTAATCTTAAGTATCTTGGTTTTGAATATGTTTTTGGAGGAAAAAAAAAACCAAAACAACCCAAAACATAAATGATGAGGCCTAGGTCTCTAGGTTATCAAAAGTCAATTAAAAGGAGAAAACCTGCCAATTCTGAGAGGAATTCAAAGAGGCAAACAAAAGAGGGGGAATGGGATGCTGATAGAGAAGGCAAGATAAGAAATAATGAAGCCAACAACAAAAGGTATGGATTTATTTTGCAAAATGCTTCTCTTTAAGGTGTGGACTACTACTTTACCTGCTTGTGTCTTTCACACTGTTGTGTGAGGCACCATATTGTGCCAGAGCTGCTTTGTTCTCAAAAATAATTAAGTTGAGTTTACCAGAAGAAACAAGGCTGTGGTCAAATCCCAGAACCATGAAGATGGGTCTGAGTGATCCACGAAGATTCCAGTCTGCAAAATAATTCAACTCTGTAAGCACATATACAGAGGGAAAACAATGCTGCTTTAGTTCAGCTTTGTTTGCATACAACTGTTAATTAGATTAAATACTTTTCTTTATCACTGTGTGCAGTATTGCATAGAAAAGTTTTTCTTGCGTGAACATGTAAGTTGTCAGATAAACTAGGTAGCTACAAATTAAATGAGTTGGTGCATATTCTTCGTTGCATATTCTTGAAGAACTGCAGTTTAAGCTTAGTAACTTAATTACTTTATATGAAATAAATAGTCCCTGATATTTTGAAACAGGTAGCACCGCCTTTCTGATACTTCTTATCCATTCAAAATTCTTACAGACACCATCAGAGTCAGACAAAAATCTTTTGAAGCATGGAGGGCTTTTGGTTAGATTGATGCTCTCCCCTAATTACCAGACTTGTATAAATTTAAGTTGGTTTCCAAAATAAAAAAAGGACTAATACAGTTAGGGAAATATGGGGCCCAGCAGTAAAATGCCTGGTGTTTATGCTGTGGATTCTGACAGCGTCTTCCTTCTGGGACTGAGTGGTTTCATTTGCATGAAAACAGAACTGCTGTTAGTGTTCTGTTAGCAGGAATCACAATCCGGGGCAGCCGCTAACAAATTGCAGCAGCAGCAGCAGCGGGCAGAGCTTTGTGCACCGCCGGATGGCGCCTGTGCAGCGCGCTGCTCCTCACGGAGCGGGCAGGGCTCGGGGCCAGGGCCAGGGTTAAACACGCTCACATCCTCCAGCTGCTTCCAAACTGCGCTCTCCAGCAAAACCGCTGGGAGACGCAATACAGAAAGGCAGTAATGACCTTGAAGGGCGAGATCAGAACTCCCCAGAGGAGCACTTGAAGGGTTTTATTCAAAGGTGTTTCAGACCACTTCAATTATCTTAAAAAAAACCCTAAGGAGATAAACACAAAATGAAGTGTAATGTAAAAATCAAAGGTAACAATGTACATCTATTCTATAAAAAGGTTGGCAGTATATATTGTGATCCAAGTATTGGTTTCCTTTCTGAGCACCCTGATTAAGTCATCAAAATATTTTGTTCAAAATAATTTAGATCAATAAAGTACATTAAAGATGTATATGAAACATAAGGCCAGATAGCCTACTTGCCTCATCTCTGCGTTTAAAAAATGGATCAATTCTACTGCTATATAATTATTTGCAGCGTGTATGAAAATATCTCCTAATAGCTCGTATGGATCAGTTTAGCTCCATCTTAAGAACATCCAGCTTTTATGGGATCCTTTCCCTTGCTGACTCAAATCACACTGCCCTGTGCATGGTTCGCTGTTCAGGTCATATTATTAGTGACTGTTCATCCTGGGCTAAAAACTGCAGATGCAACCTTCAATTCGTTTATCCTTTGCTAAAAGAATGACTTTAAAATATCATTTTCTCTTTCATCTACGTGTATTATAACTGAAACAAGGTGGGCTAAACATGAACCTCCCATGTACTTACATGCAACCTGGCTGTTTTATCTGTGGCTGAGTTACATTTCGAGTGTGAGGGAAAAGATTAATATCTTCCGGAAATATAGTATTTTGTGGTATAATGAGGGAATTAGGTGCAGAAATTTGCAATAAGGAAAAAAAAAAACCAATGTTCAAACTACACTTATAAAAGGCCGGGACCAAGCACTCAATGGGGTCTTGGCATCTTGTTTTTCCCTTGGTGTGTTACTCAGCTCGCAACAATTAGATTACATCCTGCGAATTCTCAATCACCCGTCACTGAGAAGAGGTTAATATTTACGGGCCCATTGGAGAGGGAAGGCTTCAGCAGCTTGACTCTCCCTAGGACGGGGGCGTTCCTGAGGGGCAGCTGCCTCGTTCCGGGCCCTGTTCCGGGCCTCGTTCCAGGCCGTGTTCCGGACCCTGTTCCGGGCCGTGTTCT